CTCTTTCCAGCATGGCTGACTCTGTCCCCCAGCTTCTAGGACCAGGGAGGCTGGGCCATGGTAACCAAGACTCCCTTCCTTAGCAGCACCTAGAGGGGCTTCCCGTGAATGCAAAACATGAAGGGTTACCTTTGGCAAGTCGACCCCAGGCCCGGGACCCCCTGCTGAGACAAAGCTGCTGCCTCTTGGCCTTTCTCTAGAGGTCCTCAAGGTCCAGACCCTGGCCTGGGTCAGAAACAGATGGGGGGTCTCCCAGCCTCTCGTCTCCCCGCAAAGGGGCTGGGACTGACCATGTGGTAGGTGAATAAAAAGGGGGAAAAAAAGCAAGGAAAGCACTGTCCGCTCTCCCTGGGAAGTGAGTTCCTCGTGCTGGGTCTTCTCAGGGCCTGGGGGAGGCACGAAGCTGACCCCCCATTGCTCCCAGTGGGTCTCCACACCGCCTCTTGGGCCAGCCCTTGCCCCTCTCAGCCCAGGGACAAAGGAAGGGGGAGAGGAAGAAGAGAGAGTGTGTGAGAGAGAGAGGATGACAGAGGCGGGGAAGGTGAGTCAGGTATGACCAGGATGTGCTGGAGAGGAGCCTGGGCAGGGCCCCGGGAGGAGGGGGAGGGGAGGCCTCTCTTCCCCTTGGGTGGGGGCGGGGCGGATGGCGGAACAGGCCTGGGGGACTTGATCCCTCTGCCTTGTGCCCAGGGCAGCCCAGGGAAACTGGGAGGACCCCTCCCCTGAGCAGGGCTGGTGATCTGCCAGTCCCCAGCCAGGCTCATGTGACAGTCCCCTCCCTTCTAGGATGATTCTTTCTTGCCTCCCCACCCCAGGCCTGCTCAGCTCTCTGTAGAGTATTTTCTTTCCAACCTTCAACCCCTAAACCAAGCCCACAGATGCTGGCCCCAAGGGTCCCTCTTCATGTGGTCCTTTCAGCGCCGTCCACTGGCCACTGAGCCCAGAGCTCGACGTGCTGCAGCTCACTCTCTGGTCCTACCCTCATCCCCATACCTTCCTTGTCTCCCACCACAGCTCCTCCTTTTTCAAGTCGAGGTCCTGACTCCACCAGCTTCCAAGATCCTTGTCCCATTCAAGCTGGTTGTCTCCCCCTCCATCCTGCCCTCGTGCAGAACAAGCCCAGGTCCCCAAAGTTTCCAGAGAAGTCAGCCGTTTGTACTGAGACCCTCAGCCTGTGCCCCTGGCCTGGGCAATGAGCAATCGTGGCTGAGTCCGGTGTCAAGGTCAGGAGACCAGGTCCAGTGAGCCCTCTGGGGACATATTGCGTGGCCTATGCAAGCCTTTCCCCTTGATGGCCTTCAATTTCCCTTTCGGTCATAGGCCTTCTTGAAGGGGCTGGAGCACAGGACAACTTGTCCCAGCCTCTTTAGTGAAGCACCTGAAGGTGTCTTTGCCCTGGGCGGACGGGCTTCCCCAGAGGCAGAGGCGATTCCACGTGACAGATGCCATCTCTGAGTTCCTGGGGTCAGGGCCTCAGGAGTCCTGGCAAAAGGGGCCCAGCAAACAATCAGTGGGGGCCTCCTCTGGTCACCTGTGTCCCTTGGGTGTGCTTCTTGCATCTCCCCATGTTGTAATAACATGTTTGGGGGGGAGATCTGCCCTCCGCACCAGATTGTGAGCTCCCTGAAAGCAATAGCCTGTCCTGTTGGTCTCTTGTTCCCAGTATCCAGCACAGGTTGGGGACATTTATAGACATACACACTTATGTCTATTACAGGAGGAAATGGCGACATGACATTGAGAAAGTCCTATGACCCAGGTTGGAGGGAAATGACACCCAGGTCTGGTTCTCTCCAGAGCCCCCAGGCAATGCTACCCCTCCCTCCTCTTGACTCCACTGCCACCTGTGACTACTCAGCTCCTCTAGGACTTCCCTAACCAGCAAATGGGTGTGCCTAATCACAGCAAGATGCTGGTCTCCCAGCACCAAGAGAGGTTTGTCATCGGGCTCCGCAGCCACATGCTACAGAAGGCTGCAGCCCTTTTCCCTGCCGGCCTCCGCAGGCTCCCGTGCCGGTCACTCCTGCGAGTGGTCGCCGGCGACTGGGGCAGCTCTGCCTTGTGCACTGGCCAAGCTGGGCGTGTCTGGGCCTCCTGACCCTGTCATCGTGCCCTTCTTAGCTGCAGGGGTCCCTGTGGGAGACCTCCCTCTGGGGTCTTTGGAGCCTGGCTCTGCACAGATCTCGTGTGTCACTTCCCCAGACCCACCATAACCTCGGCCCAGGTTTGCTGCCCCAGGTCGTGCTTGTGAGCTGTGGGCACCTGCTCCTCGGTCCTCATCTTCCCTGGGCGAACATCATGAATAACCATAGCTTGTGGCTCCACGCACCCTGTCCTTGGCCCTGGGAGCCCCGACCATCACCCCACCCAGTCTTGTGCCCACTACCTTGTCCCAGTCCACTGCTTTGAGCTTTGGCTCCATCGCAGGGTCTGTCTTCTGAGTGCTTGCAGAGGTCACAGCCTCATTCTCCACGGAACCCTGGGGAGAGAAGACACAAGGGGATTACCCACAGTGGGCGAGGGAAGAGAACCCCCAACTGCCCCCACGATGAGGCAGTCAGGAGTGGTGGGAGCACCATGGCAGGGCAGGGTGGGCGGAAATCAAGGGCACTGAGTGCACTTGAAAAAGGGTAGACACTGATGTGGGTGGTCTTATTCTCTGCACTTTTCTTCTCCCTGAAAAAGAAAATAATACCCATAAAAACAAGAGGCAAAAGATCTGGGGGAGGATAGAAGCTGGCAGAGAGACTGGAGGGAGATGAGAGCAGTGAGTGGGAATGCCCTGGCCCAGGAGATCCCTGCCAGCCGTTGCCCAGGTCCCTGACAGGTGTCAGGTAAAGAGTCACAGGGTGGCACCCAGGGGACCTGGCAGGCTCACTGGGTCATGCCCAGTGACTACATCACCTGCCTCTCTCCCTGGTAATTCTACAGAGCTCATGGGCCACAGGCTGGGCAGCTAGGTCCACGTGCCCACAAGAAAGAAAGGCAGCAGAGCGTGAGGGAGCCGTCCCTCCAGGAACTCCCAGGTGTGGGTCAGCGGCCACACGTGGGGCGGGACTGGCAGAGGAGAACCCAGATGGGCTCAAGGTCAAATGGAAGGAGCAAAGAGGCAGAGGCAGAAGGAAATGGAATGTACTGGGAAAATCACATGGCTCCAGCTGGCCCTGACGTCCTGTGGGGTGAGGCCGGAGAGGGCATGCCGGCACGTAGGTAAAATGCAGGCTTCCCTCCAGGAAGGGTGGGGAGAGCACTTACCAATGGTGGGGGGTGTCCTCTGAGTCCCTGTGACTAAAGGAAATGTGGTGGCCATGGAGAAGGGGCCCTTGGAACCTGGATATTGCCAAGAACCCAAGAAGAGTGTTTGAGCAGCCAGTTGGGGTTTCTGTTGCTATGATTCTTACATTTTTGGCTTCCAAATGAATGAAGAGAACTTGATGGTGACAGTGATGCTGTCAGTTTCTGGGAAAACCCATATGTAACCCAAGTAAAAGCGGGCTTTCATGGTCCTGTCTTGGTATCTCAGTATTTTTAGTCTTTGTCACCATGCTAATACCTGAATTCTTCTCAAAAGCATCTCTGATGATCTCTTGAGGATGGAGTGGATTTTATAGTATTTCATACAAGGAAACTCCCTAAGTATCAAAAATAAATGTCAAATAAGAATCTTGTCCCTTCTAATTCTGTTCTACCCTTAAAATACCTCCGAGCGCCTCCAATCATGGACCTATTGGTTCTCCCTCCCTCCTGGGTAGTTCTTTTCTCCTGGTCACCCCAAGTCCTTTCTTAAGTAGGGTGATCTAATCCTTCTCTGCACCTCCAACCCCTCTCATTCACTACAACTCCATCCATCTCTCTCCACAAAAGGCTTGTCTTGGGGCCCACCCATCCCAAACAGGGAAGGGGTTATCACTCGAATTAGCATTTGATGTTTTTGTCTGCGCTACACTTTTCAGACATCCCTGAGTGGCAGACACAGATCTGTTTGGGGCACACGCATCTAAACAACAACTGGAAGCAGAAGAAATGGTCATCACTTTTCAGCACTGGGCACAGAGCCCTCAACTATCCAGCCTGTTCTTCTGGTCACTTAAGGCTGGGCTGTTTTCTGAGAGCTCGAGTCCTTAGGAGAGTCTCCCTTCTGCTCAGCTGACTGCCTCAGTTTCCAGGGACCACTCCTGGCTCTTCCCCTCTAGGACAGTACAGGCTCTTTTTCGCCTGGCAGCTTCCACATACATGAGGACCACTGCCACCTGCTTCTCCACAAGACCCCCTTAGGACATAACAGGGTCTCTAAGCATAATAATTGGTTCTGGCTCCTCTTCCAAGGTGGGTGTGATGGGACCAGGCCAGAACCCAGCAGGGCTCATGCCTCCCCCACATGGAACATCCTATCTCAGGCCATGGGAACTGAGCTCCCATTGGCACTTTGACCTCCATCTTATGCGGCTCATTCACTTAGCTTATAGCCACCTGAAGCTTTTTTCATGGACTGCTGCTGCTGGCGTGGTGTGGAGAGCTTATGTGGCCCAGGAGGCGAGCTGGACCTGCAGACCCACTGTGATGAAGGCTGGGATGCCCGGAGTAGTGATGGACGGGAGGGCAGAAGGCGGTGGAAACCAGAGAAACCCTAAGAAATGGGATCATGGAGGGGAGTTTGCGGGGACGGAAGCCCTGGTTCCATATCCACCTCCTCTTCAGGGGCTGGTGGTCTCAGTGAAGTAACACTGTGGTCCCCTGCCTCTTCCCTTAATTCCTCCCTCCTACAAGGATCTGATCCACACCCACTGCTGTCACCCACTCATCCACAGACATACGTGTCTGAACACCTGCAACGTGCCAATCGCACATCAGCTCAGAAGACTCCGCAACGTCTCTCTAACACTGGTCCTGCTCCTCGCTCCGGGAGTATGTTTCCAACAGCTGACGTTATAGTCTGACCCTCTGACCACTTTCCTAAGAGGGAACACACTATCTTCCTCCGTAGGTCAGCTTATCCTCGCCTTCCTTGTATTTGTCTTTCCCCTGTATTTCCAAGCTCTTCTCCTGTCACGCCTTTGAATTAACCCTAATTTTTCCCTCTCACCGGTAGGGACGACTTGCCATTTTCTAAACATGCCTCGCGTTTTTCTTCTCAAATGTCATCCTATCTAGCATGATGACAACAGTTAATATTCACGAAGGCCTACCGTGTGCCCAGCCCTTTCATCTGCATAACAACCATATGAAGCAGGCATGACTATTATTCCCACTTGATGGATGAGAGGGCCAAGGCATGAAGGAGCCCCACAGCTAATGGGGGTAGAGCCGCAGCTGGGCTCCAGAATATTCTCTTGACAACCATGTACTTCCTCCCTAACCATTCTAGCCAGAAATGAGCTCTTCATTTTCCAACTTTAAAAAAAGTCACACTTTCCATGTGTCCCACTGCCTCAGTTGGTACTTACTGTTCCCTTCCTCTTATTGTTTTTGCATGTTCGGGCCATGAACTTGTTTGTCCAATGGTGGACAAACAATAGATTCTAACAGGCCAGGAAACTACTGTTTCCTCTCTTCAAGTTACCTAGGGTGGGCTCTTGAAAATATTACATCTCCACTCATATTTCTTGAGTGGCTCATGTTTCAGTGTTGGCTCTTTGCAACATAGCCACGATCCCCTGACACTCCAGACCCCTGAGATGTGGCAGGAACCTCAGGGGATCCTGGCTGTGTTGTTCGGGGTGGAGCCCTGAAACTCTGCCAGGCTCATGCTCCTTGGAAATATATAAAGAATGGGGGGTGAGCACATCTGGTTGGAAGAGAGAGGTCGCCCAGGACACTGAACACACCATCTTAGAATGCCACCCGGGCTGGGTGGGGTGGTGCCCAGACACAAGGGTCAAAGTCCAATAATCTGGGCCATATATTCTCAGTGCCCTTTGGCCAAGCATAGTCCACAGGATAGGCATGAGTGGAACTGAAAGTACATTAGTCTGACATGAAATTACCAGCATCTTATTTTGCCAAATAAAAATATTAAAAAGGGGACTTCCTTGGTGGTGCAGTGGTTGGGAATCCGCCTGCCAATGCAGTGGACACAGGTTTGAGCCCTGGTCTGGGGAGATCCCACATGCCGCGGAGCAACTAAACCCGTGCGCCACAACTACCGAGCCTGTGCTCTAGAGCCTGTGAGCCACAACTACTGAGCCTATGCGCCACAACTGCTGAAGCCCGCACGCCTGTAGCCCGTGCTCTGCAAATGCAATAAGAGAAGCCACCGCAATGAGAAGCCCACGCACCGCAATGAAGGGCAGCCCCCGCTCGCCTCAACTAGAGAAAGCCCGTGGGCAGCAACGAAGACCCAACGCAGCCAAAAAAAAAAAGAGTAAATAAAATAAATACATGAAAAAAACATATATTAGGGCTTCCCTGGTGGTGCAGTGGTTGGGAGTCCGCCTGCCGATGCAGAGGACGTGTGTTCGTGCCCTGGTCTGGGAGGATCCCACATGCCGCGGAGCGGCTGGTCCCGTGAGCCATGGCCGCTGAGCCTGCGCGTCCGGAAGCCTGTGCTCTGCGACGCGAGAGACCACGGCAGTGAGAGGCCTGCGTACCGCAAAAAAAAAAAAAAGAAAGAGTGGCCCCCGCTCTCCGCAACTGGAGGAAGCCCGCGCACAGCAACGAAGACGAAAGAAAAGAAAGAAAAGAAAGGAAAGAAAGAAAGAAAGAAAGAAAGAAGGAAAAAAGAAAGAAAGAAAGAAAGAAAAAAGGAAAAAAGAAAGAAAGAAAGAAAGAAAGAAAGAAAAGAAAAGAAAGGAAGGAAGGAAAGAAGGAAGGAAGGAAGGAAGATTAAAAAATATTTTAAAAATTAGCAGCAGCATTTCATAAATGAAAGAAATAGGTAGGAAACACATGCTTGCAGAATAAAAGGCAGTTCTTCCCAAGGAAGGGCATTTGGCAAATTTACAGGGGGATTAAAAAAAAAAAGGTTCCATTTAAAAATATTTATTAATGCAGAAGAAATTACAACCTAAAATTTTGTTTTGTGAGAATTGTACATCATTGTTTTCTTGGTTCATGGTGGTGGGTATGGGTCTCTAGTCTCTGTGTAACAGGAAGTAGGTAAATGCTCTCTTTGTTCCAGTTCTAAGGTTTTCTTAAATTACTAAAAATCCAGTTTCACAGATGTTGGCTGAAAATGAAAACAGAACTTTCAAGGGTTTTTTGTTGTTGTTGTTGTCATTCAGCTGGAAATATTCCGGGTGGAATGAGGGAAATGGAGGGAGGATCCCCGTGGCTCTCTGCCTCTTTCCTGAAAGCCAGGAGGAAGGGGAGTGGCTCCTGCCCAGCACCAGGCTCACCAGCTTGCTTCCCCAGCCCTGAGCAGTCAGGGACTCTCCCAAGATGCTGCCCTTGAATCCTGCACCAGCACCTGTCTGAAGGCTGGCACGGGCCGTGCGCTGCCATGGCGGGTGGGGAAAGGAGAGGAAGACGGATGGGAGAAGG